AAAAAAAAAAAAAAAAAAAGAAAAGAAAAAGAAAAGAAAGAGAAAGAAAATGAGGACAATGGCAAACATTTAACAAGCACTTTGCACCCACGGCATCAGCTTACACCAACCCCATAAAGCAGGTGCTATTTTCCTCATTTTATAGAATAGGACACGGCAGTGCAGAGGGGGTAAGAAACAGTGACTGAGGTCAGCCAGCGGGGTGAGAGCTGCGATTTAAATCCAGGCCTGACTTTTTTTTCTTTTTTTGAGACGGAGTCTCACTCTGACTCCCAGACTGGAGTGCAGTGGCGTGATATCGGCTCACTGCAACCTCCGCCTCCTGAGTTCAAGCAATCCTCCTGCCTCAGCCTCCTGAGTAGCTGGGATTACGGGCACATGCCAACATGCTTGGCTACTTTTTTGTATTTTTAGTAGAGAGAGAGTTTCACCATGTTAGCCAGGATGTTCTCGATCTCCTGGCCTCATGATCCGCCCACCTCGGCCTCCCAAAGTGCTGGGATTACAGACATGAGCCACTGTGCCTGGCCAAACCCAGGCCTGACTCTAAAGCACCTACCTACCCAGCAGGACTTGGTGACAGATGCAAATAAGGGAGCAAGGAGGAGAAGTCAGAGAAGGGCCGTCGGGGACTTCTGGATCTCAGGGAACAGCTGGAAAGGGGAGGTGGTGAAAATCCTGGTGCTCCTCTGGGTTCTGCCTCTTTCCCCAGCCTCATCCCCTCCTGGGCCTCCCCCTCCTCCCCTCCCACCTCAGCTCCACCCTGCTCCCCTGTCTAGGCCTGCAGAACCTGCGCACGGCTCAGGCAGCACTGGGCAAAGGCTGCCTGGCCAGCACCTTCATCTGCGTGTACCTGTTTACGGGCGAGCTGTACCCCACGGAGATCAGGTGGGTGCATGGGCAGAGACACTGCAGGTTGAGACCTGCTGGGCTCACTGAGGCAGGACCCCTGGTCCCTCCTGCCCTGCCCCCTGACACTCAGGCCGTGGCCCTCCCAGGCCCTGTGGGGTGCAGGTCACTGCACTGACCCATCCACACACCTCCCACAGGCAGATGGGGATGGGCTTCGCCTCGGCCCATGCCCGCCTAGGGGGCCTGGCAGCGCCCCTGGTTACCACACTTGGGGAGTTCAGTGCCATCCTGCCACCCATGTGCTTCGGGGCCACCGCAATCCTGGCCGGGCTGACTGTCTGCTTCCTGACCGAGACCCGCAACGCGCCTCTGATGGAGACCATCACGGCGATGGAGAGGAGGTGAGGGGCCTCCAGCACCAACAGGCCGAGAGTTCCAGGAAATAACTGGGGGGCAAGTGGGGTGTTCTCCCCATTCCTGCACATCTGAAATGTCCTGGCTGGACGCACCAGAGCTATGAGATGCCTCCGCACCTCCATCTACACTGGCTTAGCTTTCCAAAAGAACAGACCCGATCACAAAGGTAAAAAAGAGTAAACCGTGGGCCAGGAAACTCGTGGGTTGGAAGTGAGGCCTGGCAGAGAAGTGGGGAGAGGAGATCAGGGGAAACTGAAGCAAAGACAGGCCCCTGTGGGTGCCGTGCAGGCTTCAGATTTGGTTCTGGGCTTCCTCGCAAATGACACTTTCCTTAGCATTTAGCACTAGGAGAGGTTTCTCTTCTCTTCTTGGCCTCTTCTTTTTTAAAGATCATCTTGGCTTCGAATGTGGGTCTCATTAGAAAGGTGGCTAAGGTGACAGCAACGCCTGGACAATGTTTCTAAAACAAACTCGAGGGCATTAGATCTGGCTGCTGCTTACAGCATTTCTCAACAACAGTGGGCTCAGGGAAGACCCTTAGTTTCGGGGAATGGTGACAGGGACAGTAGCAGGGCCCGTCTGTCACCCTCTCTGAAGGTCAGCTTGATCCCAAAGGTGGACCCATCTGTACCCAGTGGCCTATATGGGTGCTGTGTTTGCAACCCTGAAATAACCCCCATAGGCTGGGCGCGGTGGCTCACGCCTGTAATCCCAGCACTTCGGGAGGCCAAGGGGGGCAGATCACCTGAAGTCGCAAGTTTGAGACCAGCCTGACTAACATGAAGAAACCCCGTTTCTACTAAAAATACAAAAAATTAACTGGGCATAGTGGCACATGCCTGTAATCCCAGCTACTTGGGAGGCTGAGGTAGGAAAATTGCTTGAACCTGGGAGGTGGAGGTGGTGGTGAGCCAAGATCACGCCACTGCACTCCAGCCTGGGCAACAAGAGTGAAACTCCGTCTTAAAAAAAGAACCCCATAGACATCCCATCTCTAACCTGGGCCATGGTCCAAGGCTGCACTGCAAGGGCCATCAAGGATATATTCTTTGGCAAGTCCTATCCTTTCTGCCTCCAGAATAGACTTGAATCTGTCCTCTCTCCAGCCGTGTGTCCATGGCCCTACATCAAGCCACCATTGTCGCTTGTCTGGACAACTATGAGAGCCCCATATCCTCCCCTGTCCCTGTCCACTTTATTCCCTGAAGGCCAAGCAGTGTGGCAGGCTGGTGACATGAACAGGACCCTGTCCCTGCCGGATCACAAGGATAAAATCTGAAGTCTGACAAGGTCCTCATGATCTGGCACCTGCTCAGCTCACCCCCCACAGCCTGGCTACTGCCTGGGCTGCGCTCTCCGTCTAGAATGCTCTTCCATTTGCTCTTTACCTGTGTGACCCGTACTTATCCCACAGATCTAGATTCAGGTGTCCCAGATGTTAGGCAAATACTTGTCAATAACCCATTCCCATTCCAGAGCCTGGTTTGCAGGTTCTTTGAGATGTTGCCTCAAGTACATGAAAAAACAAGTGGAGAAATGTCCACATGTCCCCCGACTATTACAGAGAGAACAGTCGAGGTGATTCTGGCCTGGGCATTTTAAAAATCAAATTTTGCTTACCCTGGCTTTAGAAAAATCTCAGTAACGCCAAATGAAATTCTAGTTTAGGTAATGCAGCTTCCTTTGACTATGCCAGGAGCAATTTAATATAAAAATTATTGTATGTTGGCCAGGCACGGTGGCTCAGGCCTGTATTCCCAGCACTTTGGGAGGCCGAGGCAGGAGGATTGCTTGAGGCCAGAAGTTTGAGACCAGCTTGGGCAATATCGAGCAAGACTCCGACTCTGCAAAAAGTAGAAAGTGTGTAGCTAAGACTATAGGTGTGGTGTCACATACCTGTGGTCTTAGCTACTTGGGAGGCTGAGGCAGGAGGATAGATTAAGCCCAGGAGTTTGAGGTTACAGTGAGCTGTGACCAATGCCACCACACTCCAGCCTGGGTGACAGAGTAAGAATGTATCTCAAAAAAAAAAAAAAAAAA